ACCAATCTGGAAACTGCAGATTTCCGTCCCTTTTATATGATATGGTATGTTGCATTTACCACCTTCCTTTCTTCTTTACCATAACAGTAATTTTTAACTAAGTACATTCAAAAAGTCACTGCTTCAAAGAAATTAAAGAACTTGAAGAACACAGATCAAGACTCATCAGTTATGAACAGCTTGTGATGGCTGTTCCTGCCTAAAGATTGTACTCAGTATCTGTTCTTCTGTCTATTTCCATCTGACCTACTTTAGTTCATCCGGACACTCTGTGAAGTGAAAGCTTGTGAATGATTTTGGTTGTCAGGGACTGTCACTTACTTAATTTATACATAACCTAGCACAGTGTATGGAAGAAAAAAGTTGAAGTGCATCTACAATATAGGTATTTAACAATTTATATGAAGTTCTATTGGGATACTCTGAGGTTTGATAAATTATTTTTAAATAGCTCTACAAAGTAAAAAAAAAATATTTTGCTTCTGATGTTGCTGCTTTCAGAGAATTTTTGTTCTACCCGACTGGGGTAGAAAAACATCCAAGAATCAATGCAAAAAAACACCAACCCTGCATTCTTCTATTTCTCTCTAGAAGTAGCCTTAAAATAAGCTACTCTGAAGATCAGTGTTGATCATAATTAGGAAATCTGCTTAACTGTTCGTACAATAAATTGGTACTTGAATTAGTAACTCTACTTTCCTCCTACAATTCTTGTAAACATAAGTCCTTGCATATGTTTTATATTGCAGTCATTGGGAGCATATGCCAAGGAAGGTCATGGAGCAATTCATCCCAACTTCCATCACACAGCATGTACAGGAAAACTAGGTGATCAGACCCAGTCACCATGGGTTTATGAAAAGCAGGTCCTGCCTGACTAATCTGACCTCCTTCTATGACGCACTTAGCGGATGAGGGAAAGGTTGAGGATGTTGTTTATGTAGAGTTCAGCAAGGCATTCGATACTGCTTCCCACAGCCTTCTGGAGAAACTGGATGCTCACGCCTTGGACGGATGTACTCTTTGCTGGGTAAAAAACTGGCTGGATGGCTGAGCCCAAAGGGTCATGGTGAATGGAGTTAAATGGGGGTAGCGGCTGGTCACAAGTGGTGCTTTTCAGGCCTCAGTATTGGGGCCAGTTTTGTTTAACATTTTTATCAATGATTTTGATGAGGGGATTGAGTGCATCCTCAGTAAGTTTGCAGACAACACCAAATAGGGTAGGAGTGTTGATCTGCTTGAGGGTAGGAAGGCTCTGCTGAGGGATCTGGATAGGCTGGACCGATGGGCTGTATCCAACTGTATGGCATTAAACAAAACTAAATGCTGGGTGATACCCTGGCTGCACGTACAGACTGGGCGATGAGACGCTGGAGAGCAGCCTAGAAGAGAGGGATCTGGGGGTCGTGGTAGACAGCAAGTTGAATATGAGCCAGCAGTGTGCCCTGGCAGCCAGGAGGGCCAACCGTGTCCTGGGGTGCCTCAAGCACGGCATCGCTAGTAGGTCAAGGGAGGTGATTGTCCCGCTCTACTCTGCGCTGGTGAGGCCTCACCTCGAGTACTGTGTGCAGTTCTGGTCACCACAGTATAAAAAGGACATGAAACTGTTGGAGAGTGTCCAGAGGAGGGCTACGAAGATGGTGAAAGGCCTGGAGGGGAAGATGTACGAGGAACGGCTGAGGGCACTGGGCCTGTTCAGCCTGGAGAAGAGGAGGCTGAGGGGAGACCTCATCGCAGTCTACAACTTCCTCGTAAGGGGGTGTCGAGAGGCAGGAGACCTTTTCTCCATTAACACCAGCGACAGGACCCGCGGGAACGGGGTTAAGCTGAGGCAGGGGAAGTTTAGGCTTGACATCAGGAGGGGGTTCTTCACAGAGAGGGTGGTTGCACACTGGAACAGGCTCCCCAGGGAAGTGGTCACTGCACCGAGCCTGTCTGAATTTAAGAAGAGATTGGACTGTGCACTTAGTCACATGGTCTGAACTTTTGGGTAGACCTGTGCGGTGTCAAGAGTTGGACTTGATGATCCTTAAGGGTCCCTTCCAACTCAGGATATTCTATGATTCTATGATTCTATGATGCACTTGGATCATAATAGCTCCATGCAGTGGTATAGGCTTGGAGAAGGGTGGCTGGAAAATTGCCTGGCAGAAAAGGACCTGGGGGTATTGGTCGACAGCCACCTGAACAGCCAGCAGTATGCCCAGGTGGCCAAGAATGACAATGGCATCCTGGCTTGTATCAGAAGTAGTGTGGACAGCAGGACTAGGGAAGTGATTGTCCCTCTGTACTTGGCACTGATGAGATGCACCTTGAGTACTGTGTTCAGTTTTGGGCCTCTCACTACAAGAAGGGTTTCAAATTGCTGGAATGCATTCCAGAAGAGCAACAAAGCTGGTGAAGGGACTAGAAAACAAGTGTTGTGCAGAGCAGCTGAGGGGACTGGAGCTGTTTAGTCTGGAAAAGAGGAGGATGAGGGGAGACCTCATTGCCATCTACAACTACCTGAAAGGAGGTTGCAGTGAGGAGGATGTGGATCTCTTTTCTCTGGTGACAAGTGATAGGACACAAGTTGCGCATGGGGAGGTTTAGATTGGGTGTCAGGAAGAATTTTTTCATGGAAAGGGTTGTTAGGCATTGGAACAGGCTGTCCAGGGAGGTGGTGGAGTCACCATACCCATACCTAGAGGTATTTAAGAGATACGTGGACATGGTTCATATATGCATCAATTTTGTGGTTTTTTTTTATTATTTTATTTTATTTTTATTTTTATTTTTATTTTAAGTATGAAATAACATCTTTAGAGTCATAAGTAGAATACTACAAAGAAAAAAGAATGTCTACTGCCTTAAGTATTATCTGCTCTGGGATTAGAATCAGACAGAGGAAAGAAAATTGTCCTAATGCAAAACATTAAATGGGTGGATCATTATTAGAATAATGTAGAGGGGGACAATGATACAATCTATGAGTATGACTAATCTATGACAGACTATGATACAGGCATGAGAGCATTTGAACTACTGTGGTAGTACCCTTCTCTGTCTCCTCCACCCCTTCTATCTTCAGTAGCAAAACTGGATCCAGCTTGAGAAATGTCAGGGTTACGTAGTAAGTTGCCAACAGGTTTCAGAGTTGTTTGATGATAACAAAGGGAATGCTGAAAGCTGAGAATCTTTGGTTCTGTTCCAGGATGTGTTGAAAAGGATGTGCTCTAATTGTCACAGACCTTTTTTGTTTGTTTGTTTGGGTTTGGTTTGTTTGTTTGTTTTTTGAGTGTGTTTTTTTTTTTTTTCCCTGCTGTTTGGCTCATTCAGCCTGCTCCATACTCAGGGTAGCACTTCCCATGTCATTTGAACATGCAATGGATAATTTTGTTATTTGTGGAGACTGAAAGGCATGTTGTAGAATCAGGTGGGGGACTGTAGGATAGTCTCTACTTAGTTTGTTCTCAGACCAAATTTATAAGAAATGCCATGTAAGTCACTTCATAAAAACTTTTTTTAATGGCCAAGTTTTTACTTGTGTGCTTCATGAATATATTCTCAAATCCCAAGTCTCTAAATTGCTTACTCTAACTAAGCAGATGTTCTAGCTTCAGTTGATCTAAATGTCAGTCACCAATCATAAAACAGAAATATTACCACAGTTACAACTTTCTAGGGTCTTCTAAAGGTAATTTTTGTGAAGCACTGGGGTGTTTTAGTGATGGTCATGTGTAAGAGCTAAGGAAATATTTTAATAGCAGCCTATTGTTTTGTCTGCTGTCACTAGGTGAGCCATTGTTCTTTACCCTGGATATGGCAGGAACTCTGGGGGAATCTGATCATGTGATTAAAGATTCTTGTGTAATATAAATATGTGGAAGTCAACTAAACTTTGCATTCTTGTTTTTAGCATTTTTAAACCCTACAACAAAGGGTTTTAGTGTTTCTGAACCCTTAGTTCAACAGGGGGAGTGCAAAGTCCTGCACCTGTGAAGGAATAATCCCAGGCACTAGTTCATGATGGGAATCAACCAGCTGGAAAGCAGCTTTGCAGAAAAGGATCTGGGGGTGCTGGTGGACAACTTGAACATGAGCCAGCAATGCACCCTTGTAGTAAAGAAGGCAAATGCTGTGGACAGGTCAGGGCAAGTGGTCCTTCCCCTATTCTGAGACCTGGTGAGGCCACACCTGGAGTCTTGTGTCCAGTTCTGGGCTCCCCAGTACAAGAGAGACAGACCTACTGGAGACAGTCCAATGAAGGGCCATGAAGATGCTTAAGGGACTCAAATATCTCTCCTAGGAGGAAAGGCTGAGAGACCTGTGGCTGTTCAGCCTAGAGAAGAGAAGGCTCACAGGGGATCTTATCAAAGTATGCAAATACCTGAAAGGAGGATGTAAAGATGATGGAGCCAGGATCTTTTTAATGGTGCCCAGTGACAGGACAAGAGGCAATGGGCTCAAAGTGAAACACGGGAGGTTCCACCTGAACATCAGGAAACACTTCTTTACTGTGCAGGTGATGAAGCACTGGAACAGGTTGCCTAGAGAGGTTGTGGAGTCTCCATCCTCAGAGATATTCAAGAGCCATCTGGACATAGTCCAAGAAAATCAGGTCTAGGTGAGCAGGGAGCAACCTGCTTGAGCAGGGAGGTTGGACAAGATGACCCCTAGAGGTCCCTTCCAACCTCAACCATTCTGTGATTTTGTGAATCGAGTGCTCAAATGTCTTTTTAAAAGGTTTTGTGAAGGTAATATTTCTTTTTAAATGCTTCTTCTGGTTTTCTCTTTTGTGTTAAGCTCTACTTAAGTATTCTTATATTGAAATATGCGTTAGTGCTTTTTAGGGCTTTCAGCAGTTTTCTTAATGATCATATGCCACGCTAACATACCTGGTTTAGCAGAACTTTCCAGCATAAAAATATCCTTACTATTGAGTTCTTTGTGCTTCCTGTTATAAGTGCCACAAACTTTTCTTAATGTGATCTTTCATCTTTCTTTTAATGTGTTTTCAGTCCTCCTGTTCACCGTCAGAGAGCAAGAAGGGATCATCTGTCTCGACATAATTCTATTAGCCAAGATGAAAACTATCGCCATCTCTCCTATGGACAGCAGCAAGCAATAGAAGATCCCCAAACTTTTCACCCTCCAAATATATCCCATCATATGTTGCACACAGCTGCTCACCCACCAGAGCAGAATTCAATGATGGTTGATATTCATGATCAGGTAAGAGTGTGTTGAGAACATGGATGCAAATAACTCTGTGTATGCCTCCCCAAAGAGAGCAAATCAGTGAACTGTCCTTGACAATTTAGTTGGCAATGGAGACCATAACACTTAACTCCTATTAATCCTCCTGTAAAACATCTTCTAAGTAGCATGAGTATACAGATTTGCAGCATTCAGTTGTAGTGGGTTTACGTGGCAAGGTTTTGGTAGCAGGGAGCCATAGGGGTGGTTTCTGTGAGAAAGATCTAGAAGCTGCCCCATGTTTGGGAAGGGCCCCATTGTTTTCCAGAGCTGAGCCAATAAGCGATGTTGTTTTGCGCCTCTGTGAGAGCAGATTTAAGACAGGGAAAAAAAATGCTGCGCCACACAGCAGCTGGGAGAGTGAGAGGAGTGAGGAACGGCACCAAGGTCAGTGTAGAAGGAGGGGGAGAGGTGCTCCAGGCGCCGGAGCAGAAGTCCCCTGCGGCCTGTGGTGAGGACCATGGTGAAGCAGGATGTCCCCCTGCAGCCCATGGAGTACCACAGTGGAGCAGGGTTCCACACTGCATCCCGTGGAGGAGACCACAGTGGAGCAGGTGGCCCTGCACTGATCTAGGCTGCCGCCTGTGGAAGACCCCTGCCGGAGCAGATTCCGGGCCGGACCTGTAGCCCGTGGAGAGGAGCCCACGCAGGAGCAGGTGACCTGGCAGGAGCTGCTGCCCGTAGGGGAGCCAGGTTGGAGCAGTTTTCTCCTGAGGGATGGACCCCCGTGGTACGGACCCATATCTGGAGCAGTTCTGGAAGAGCTGCTGCCTTTGGGAAGCCCACGCCGGATCAGTTCATCAAGGACTGCACCCCGTGGGTGGGACCCCACAGCACAGGGGACGAGAGTGACACAGAAGGAGTGGCAGAGAGGAAGCGCTGTAGACTGACCATAACCCCCATTCCCCCGTTCCCCTGCGCCGCTCAGGGGGAGGAGGTGGAATAGGGTGGATGGGGGGGGAAGGTGATTTTGGTTTCTTTCCTTTGTTTCTCACTTCTCTAGCTTGTTAGTAATGAGCAATAAATCTTACTATCTATCTTCTTATGCTGAGTCTGTTTTGCCCGTTACAATAATTATTGCGTGATTTTCTTGTCCTTATCTCAATCCTTGAGCCCTTTTCACATATTTTCTCCCCATTCCTCTTCGAGGAGGGGGAGTGAGAGAGCGGCTGTGGTGGAGCTCGGCTGCTCACTCGAGCGGAACCACGGCATCAGTGAAAACTGATACATTTGTAACTCAAGTGAAAAATCTAGACTCTAATAGAAAAAAGTGAGTTAACAATCTGTCAGTGTATGGCTGGCACAGTTCTGAAGGTCTCTGCATCCCACATTTGAAATGTGACACTTCTGTGAGAAACACCTTGGGGCCAATCACATAGGTTAAGGTAAGGATCTCAGTGAAGTAGCATTTTTTTATTTTCGCGATTGCAATGGCGGGCATCCTACAAGCAGGAGCACGCCTACTAGTTACATAGCACATTTTATATACTTTATTTCCTCGACGACCAGGACCCTCCCCTGTTTCCCCATTTCCCAATTGTCCAGGTTCACAACCTATCTGATGCTTTACAGATAATACTTGCAAAAACATTTTTATTCCCACACTTCTGCTTCTGAAGTTAATTCAGTTTACAATAATGGTATGGTAATAATGTATTTTCCTTCACTGCATATGAAGTACATTCCTTAAAGTGCTTTCTTTATGTAGTTGTCTGTCGTGGTTTAGCCCGGCCGGCAGCTAAACACCACGCAGCCGTTCGCTCACCCTCCCCCCTCCCTCTCTGGGACGGGGGAGAGAAATGGAAAGTGAAGCCCGTGAGTTGAGATAAAGACAGTTTAATAAGACAGGAAAACAATAATAACAATAATAATAAAATAATAATAATAATAATACAATGGTGATAATAGTACTACTAATAATAATATGTACAAACAAGAGATGCACAATGCAATTGCTCACCACCCGCTGACCGACGCCCAGCCTCACCCCAAGCAGTCCGGCCCCCTCCCCCCAGTTAGCCACCCCTATATATTGTTTAGCATGACGTCAGATGGTATGGAATACCCCTTTGGCTAGTTTGGGTCACCTGTCCCGGGTCTGTCCCCTCCCAGCTCCTGCTGCACCCCCAGCCTGCTCGTTGGCAGGACAGAGCAAGAAACTGAGATGTCCTTGGCTTAGTATAAGCACTGCTCTGCAACAATTAAAACATCGGGGTGTTATCAGCACTCTTCTCATCCTAAGCCAAAACACAGCATTCCACCAGCTACTAGGAAGAAAATTAATTCTGTTCTAACTGAAACCAGGACACCTATCCACCCCTTATTCCATACCATTTATGTCATGCTCAGGTTGCACTCTTTTCCATACATTCTAATTAGTCACCAATAGTAGTCATGGTAGTGATAACATACAGTATTATATAATAATTAACATGGTACAATTCAGTTCATGGGCTATTCTCACCCAGTATTAAATCTCCTTGAGGTATACACCGGACCTCTCCGTTCTTTTGCATCACCCACCAAGTGTATCCAGGTCCCTGAGCGAAAACAATTCCACTAATAGGTTTGCCTTTTCCTGAGGCAGGAGTAGCCCAGACTGTTTTACCCAGCATATTTCTTACATGCACTACAGGAACTTTATCCCCATCTACAGTACGTAACAGGTTTGATTGGGCAGGTCCAGCTCGGTTGGCAGATCCCCTAGTATTGACTAACCAGGTGGCCTTTACCAAATGCGTGTCCCAATTTTTGAATGTCCCAGCGCCCATTGCTTTCAATGTAGTCTTTAACAGTCCATTGTATCGTTCAGCTTTCCCAGAGGCTGGTGCATGATAGGGGATGTGATACACCCACTCAATACCATGCTCTTTGGCCCAAGTGTCTATAAGGTTGTTTCGGAAATGAGTTCCATTGTCTGACTCTATTCTTTCTGGGGTGCCATGTCACCATAGGACTTGCTTTTCAAGGCCCAGGATAGTGTTCCGGGCGGTGGCATGAGGCACAGGATATGTTTCCAGCCATCCGGTGGTTGCTTCCACCATTGTAAGTACGTGGCGCTTGCCATTGCGAGTTTGAGGGAGTGTGATGTAATCAATCTGCCAGGCCTCTCCATATTTATATTTCAGCCATCGTCCTCCATACCAAAGAGGCTTTGACCGTTTGGCGTGCTTGATTGCAGCACGTTTCACAGTCATGAATAACCTGTGCTATAGCGTCCATGGTCAGGTCCACCCCTCGATCACGAGCCCATCTGTATGTTGCATCTCTACCTTGATGGCCTGAGGTGTCATGGGCCCATCGGGCTATAAATAATTCACCTTTATGCTGCCAATCCAGGTCCACCTGAGCTACTTCAATCTTAGCAGCCTGATCCACCTGCTGGTTGTTTTGATGTTCTTCAGTAGCCCATTTCCTGGGCACATGAGCATCTACGTGGCGTACTTTCTCAGCCAGGTTCTCTACCCAAGCAGCAATATCTTGCCACAATGCAGCAGCCCAGATGGGTTTGTCCTTGCGCTGCCAGTTGTTTTGCTTCCATTGCTGTAACCATCCCCACAGGGCATTTGCTACCATCCATGAATCAGTAGAGAGATAAAGAACTGGCCATTTTTCTCCTTCAGCAATGTCTAAAGCCAGCTGAATGGCCTTCACTTCTGCAAACTGACTCGATTCACCTTCTCCCTCAGCAGCTTCTGCAACTCGTCGTGTAGGACTCCATACAGCAGCCTTCCATCTCCGATGCTTCCCCACAATACGACAGGATCCATCAGTGAACAGGGCATATTGCTTCTCATTCTCTGGTAACTGGTTGTACAGTGGGGCTTCTTCAGCACGACCCACCTCCTCCTCTGATGATATCCCAAAATATTTGCCTTCTGGCCAGTCCATAATCACTTCCAATATTCCTGGGCGACTGGGGTTTCCTATTCGAGCCCGCTGAGTAATCAGTGCAACCCACTTGCTCCATGTAGCATCAGTGGCATGATGTGTAGAGGGGACCCTTCCTTGGAACATCCAGCCTAGTACTGGCAGTCAGGGTACCAGGAGGAGCTGCGCTTCAGTACTGACCACTTCTGAAGCAGATCGAACTCCTTCATATGCTTCCTGTATCTCCTTTTCAGTTGGAGTGTAGCAGGCCTCAGATCCTCTGTATCCCCGACTCCAGAACCCCAGGGGTCGACTTTGAGTTTCCCCAGGTTCGTTCTGCCAGAGCCTTCAGGTGGGGACGTTCTCCCCAGCTGCAGTGTAGAGCACATTCTTTACATCTGGTCCTGTTCGAACTGGCCCAAGGGCTACTGCATGAACTATTTCCTGCTTGATTTGTTCAAAGGCTTGTCGTTGTTCAGGGCCCCATTCAAACTCATTCTTCTTACGGGTTACTTGGTAGAGCGGGTTTACAATCAGACTGTAATTTGGGATGTGCATTCTCCAAAACTCCACGACCCCTTGGAAAGTTTGTATTTCTTTTTTGCTAGTTGGTGGAGACATAGCTGTTATTTTGTTGATCACATCCATTGGGATTTGACGACGTCCATCTTGCCATTTTATTCCTAAAAACTGGATCTCTCGTGCAGGTCCTTTGACTTTATTTTGTTTTATGGCAAAACCGGCTTTCAGAGGGATTTGGACTATTTTCTTCCCTTTCTCGAAAACTTCCTCTGCTGTGTCACCCCACATAATGATGTCATCGATGTACTGCAGGTGTTCAGGAGCTTCCCCCTGCTCCAGCGCAGACTGGATCAGCCCATGGCAAATGGTAGGGCTGTGTTTCCACCCCTGGGGCAGCCGATTCCAGGTGTATTGGACAGCCCTCCCATTGGAAAGCAAACTGTGGCCTGCACTCTGCTGCTAGAGGGATGGAGAAAAATGCATTAGCAATATCAATTGTGGCGTACCACTTGGCTGCCTTCAATTCAAGTTCGTACTGGAGTTCCAGCATGTCCGGCACTGCAGCATTCAGTGGTGGCGTGACT